GGAGGTGAATTAGAGCTAAATTACAGCATGAACACTGAGAGCAGGGACTGGTGGCTGTAAACAAACTTTATGGGACGATGGAAAATTTGGACACACTAATAAGAACTGGGCATCTGGCTAACTAAAATCATGTCAGACCCACAGATGTTGCCAGATCAGTGAGTGCCGGACTAGAGAGGTTCAACTTGTGCATCCTTTCACAGCTATTTTGTGCAACAGAACTGCATACACTTAATGTCATGTAGCTTGCTTCAGCCAGGGACTACGGGGGGGAGTCAGACTTTCCCTAAAATAGCTGGCTACAGCCAGGGTGTGACCATGTGTTGGAAATGAGGGTAGGGAGCCTGCCACTCCTGACAGCACTATGCAGCTTGGAGGGGGAAACTGTTCAGTTCAAATGCAGAGGAGACAATAGCCAGACTTTAATGTTTTGGTGGAGAGCCAGGGGAGTAAATTGGGACAGGAGCCAGAAGTGGCAGATATTAGGACTGGAGGCTGGGAGGGAAAGGATTCTTGGATTGGCTGGGTACTGGAACTAAGGGTGGAAACAAAGAACCAGTGGGTAATGAGGGCACAGAGGTAGGATGAGGAGCGAGGGCAGAGTGAGACTGACAAGTCAAGGAGAAATCAGTGGGGCAGAGGAAGACAGTTCTGACAAGGAACCAGGTGGTGTGGAGGAACTAGTACTGGTGGGGCAAAGAAACTGGGACAAGGATCTGGAGAACGAAAGGATGTGAGGAAAGGACATAGACACTGGATGAGAAAATTGGGGAAGGAAATTGGGTCTTGGGATCTGTAGAGATGGATAACGTGATAGTGAGGGTGACTGAGGGGACAATCAGGGAAAGATACTGATGAGGCAATGAAACTGGGAATGAGGGTGGACAGGAGACTGGAGGGAGGCTATGACTTATAGGGAAAAGAGACCGGGATCTGAACCTGAAGCTTTAAGACTGGAACTAGGTAAGGTGACTAGGGGCACATCTAGACTACATGGCTCCATTGACAGAGCCATGTAGATGTGTTTACTCTGCAAAGGGAAACAAAGCAGCGATTTAAATAATCGCAGCTTCATTTAAATTAAAATGGCTGCCGCGCTGTGCCGATCAGCTGTTTGGCAGCACAGCGCTGTAGTCTGGACGCTCCACAGTCGACATCAAAGGCATTTGTCGATCTTCCCGGTAAACCTCATCCCACAAGGCATAACGGGGAGGTCGACAAATGCTTTTGATGTCGACCGCGGAGCATCCAGACTATAGCGCTGTGCTGCCAAACAGGTGATCGGCACAGAGCGGCAGCCATTTTAATTTAAATGAAAAGCGGCGATTATTTAAATCGCCACTTCATTTCCCTTTGCCTACAACCCTAATCTACATGGCTCTGTCGAAGGAGCCATGTAGTCTAGACGTGCCCTAGGAGTGGAACAAGGAGCCAGTGATGGTAAAGAGACAGGACTGGAGCTGAGACTATAAAGAGGATGTGGTAGAAGTGGATAATTCTGTGAAGAATGGGCAGAGTTTATATCCACTAAAGACCACTTTCCTCTAGAGTGTGAAATGCAACCTGAGATACTGGAGTCTGATGGGGTATGTCTACACTACCCTCCTAGTTCAAACTAGGAGGGTAATGTAGGCATACCGCACTTGCAAATGAAGCCCGGGATTTGAATTTCCCGGGCTTCATTTGCATAAGCGGGGAGCTGCCCTTTTAAAAACCCCGCTGGTTCGAACCCCGTGCAGTGCGGAGTAATGGTAGTTCGGACTTCCTTCCACGAGGAGTAATGGTAGTTCGGACTAGGAAGCCTATTAAGGTTGTCATTAATATTGAATTAAGGTTGTCATTAATTATTTTTCCCTATTTTGGGTATCCCACTTAAGCCCTTCAGTCTGATATATGAAGTGGTGAGCAATCACAGTTGGAATTGAAGTCAATGAGAGGTGTGGTTTGAATAGCTGAAGAGCTATATTCAAGAACTCAAAAAAATCAGGATTCAGATAACATAATGGATACTTTCAGCCTTAATCACTGTGCGCCTCACATTCCTGTCTGTAAAATGCGGAAAATACCCACTCATCTCACCAGGTCTTGTAAAAATAAATTCATTAATATTTTCTGAAGTGCTCACACACTATAATATTGATCACATAAAAAAGCCCATGAAGAAATGAGTAATTCTGTCTTCAGAACAGGGTTTGAATAGTGTACAGTAAAGAATGCCTGAGGCCACACAGTAAACAAAGAGAAAGCAAAATATAGAAATGCTGCGAATTACAGTGAACATTATCAATTTTGTGCACTGAAGAGCAGAGAGCCTTAATTTTGGCATTTTCTAACTTCTCAGAGCTTGTTCCTGCAACCTTAATAATGATCTTTTAGCAGTTTCTAGTATGAGATGCAAAGTAAAATTAGACCATTTTTTTATAACATGGCCACTGTAATTATAATAATCCTTAAAACTAACCATGGGGTTTTTCTATGGAAATTTTTCTGCTCAGCCATTAGTACTGAGATGAAATATTTGTATTTCTCATTTACATTTTCAATTTGCCATTTATATTTTCAATACTCTTAGCAGTATATACACACGAACTCATAAATGCAACTGGGTTTGAAATTTGGGGAGACAATTAAGGACACAAGTCTAAATGATTTATTCAGTGTGCACTAAGTGATATAAGTTATCAAACTATGAACAAGTAGTAAATTTCTTCAGAATGGATTTTTCTGGGGAGGAATTGTGAGAGTTAAATCCATGACTTGAAAGACCAATTTCTTCAATACAGATGAGCATACACAATTCAGTTAGCCAAAGGTAATGCCACTTTTGGAGAAACCTACTTTTTGAATTATTTGTCATAAGTTCAAAGTTATTAATTTATAAAATGAGCCTGCTGTCTTATTTGTCTAATGAATTACCATTTTGATGGTAAAGAAAGAACAAGTAGTCCTTACAGACTATATATAGTATGATGAGGTTTCATGGGCAAAACCTTCTTTCCATTTACGCTAAATGTCATTCAAGCACAAACGCAGTTACAGTGCATTCTTCTTTTGATAGACATGTGTGACTTCTACTGATGTAAAGAAGAGTTCTGAATAAAGACAGAGAGAATAATAAACAGTCCCATTTAAATCAGTAAATAAAAAACTGTATTTTAAACTGGGAAAATAATATATGAGAAGGGTATATATCTTGCTGAAAATAATAGGCCATGGTCTTGTGACTGCAGACATTCTAACATGACCTCTAGCTTTTCCACGACATGTTGGACCTCCCTGGTCCGGCATCCGGTCCCCATTGAGGGATTTTGCCACACCAGGGGAGGTCATTTCTGGACCCCCTGCTGCCGCTACCTCCACCGCCTGGGTCACTGGCTTCCCAGCCGGTGCCTCACCTCCTGCTGGCCCCACTACCTTGCCAACGCCACTCTGTAGCCGTCACTGCTGTGGCTCTGAGACCCGCCGGACAACCTCACATGCTGCACTGGGGCTCCAGGTTCTGCAGGGCAGCCACAACCACCAAGGTGGGGATCCAGGACCCACTGGGCAGCCATGCACTGCAGATCTCTCCCACTGAGCCACCATGGTTCCCAGCCACAAGCATGTCTCCCAACCCCACTGGGCAGACCTGCTGCAACATGCTGGATGGCTCTGCCATCAGCTCGCTGCAGGCAGCCCACTGCTGGAGCATGGATGTTGCCAGACCAGAGAATCCTGGTGAGGAGAGTTTCAACCTGTACTGCCCTATGTCAGAAAGGGATTTGTTTTATTGTAGGTTGTTTGCAGTATCCTGGAATACTTTCGAGTGCTTCCTCTATATTCCTGACAAGGGTTCTAACCAAAGAGCATACTTTATTTAAAGAATCCATCTCAGGTTTTATCTGAAGGCCAGTGATTGTTGTGTCAGAACTTTAGGAACTTTTTCTTGAGGTTCCGTACTATGTGAGTATTTATATAGGGCAGGCTTGCTCGGTAAACCCCAACAACACTCACACCTTAACAACTTCATTAATAAATTTCAGTGTCTTCATTTAAGGATACCGTCAGTTATTGATGATATAACATGCACCTTCTACGTCCTTAATTCATACCTCTGGGCCATAAATAGGAAGGCTAGTGTGCTGGAAAGCAGTACTGCAGAGTTTAAGATAGTAATTTATCACCCCTCCTTCCCTCTCTCTGATGAATTCAATTCCACCTTCAATTTCAGAAATCGGATTATTTTGGACAACTTCCATAATTTAAAGGAAACCTCTACCATGAAGGTATGTTTACACTACATGCTTCTGCCAATAGAAGCATGTAAATTAGACTACCCGACATAGTCAATGAAGCGGGGATTTAAATATCTCCTGCTTCATTAAAATAAAAATGGCCACCACATTGTGCCAGCTCAGCTGATCGTCAGCACAGCGCAGCCGTCAAGACATGGATCGGTCGACAGAGAATGCCTTTGTCGATCGCTCCCTTATGCCTCATGAAACGAGGTTTACAGGAGCGGTCGACAAAGGCGTTCCCTGTTGACCGATCCATGTCTTGACGGCTGCGCTGTGCTGACGATCAGCTGAGCTGGCACAATGTGGTGGCCATTTTTATTTTAATGAAGCAGGAGATATTTAAATCCCCGCTTCATTGACTATGTCGGGTAGTCTAATTTACATGCCTCTGTCGGCAGAGGCATGTAGTCTAGACATACTCTCGATGTTTATGGCAACAGAAAAGCTTTTTGTTACTATAAAAAGTATTTAGAGAAGCATTCAGAATGTTTGTGATTTGTGCAAAAGCTATAACAATCTTAAGCAACATCTCTGAAAATGTAGGGCAAAATGATGATATGAGAAGCACTGAGGAAGAGTGTGAGATGATTCTTAGTTGATTCTGGGGCGGTATAACTACAAGAGCAACAGCGTGATTGACAGAGAGTCTATCATATTTGCTTTCCATGCACAAGCCATAGGAGGCAGAGCCATCTTGGGGATTACGCAGGAGAAAATATGTACCTGCATTAGAATTGAGCTCTTCATTCTCTGATTCTGTTCCATTTTGGCTTCCACTTCCATGCAGGCTGTTCATTGCCATAAGCTTCATCTTTTGTAACTTCATTGCTTCAGCCATGGCAGCTGCTGTTAGACCTAGCAAACAAACAAATAAAATGGAGCATTACCTTCTACAGTATGAATAAAACACATTAATACAGCTCAAATCCTTTTTCCAATTGCTGTAGTTTTATTTTGAACAACTTCATAATCAACCTGAAACGGAGTTCCTTGGGATATTGGTCTACAGCAGGACACCAAAGTGGGTTGGGACCCCATTTCAATGGGGTTGTCAATGCTGGGGACAAAGCCTGAAGCCAAAGTTTGAGCCCTGCCACCTAGCAGCTTCCATCATGGTATGCTAAATTCTGTACAAACAATATATTTAAAAGAATTCCAGAGCTAAAAAGTCAGGACAAATAAACATGGTGTAGGCAGAATAAATGACTGGTTCCACTTAAGTGACATAGATTGAAATCATGGAACGCCCAGTGTATGGTACAACAATTCATTTGCACAGGTTTCAACAAGGAACATTGCAGAACTGATCCATGAACCAGTATTCCCATTTAATGTGGCTCCAGCTAACTATTCATAAAGTTCAGAGCTGCAACTAATTCAGCTCTCCCCAGCTTTGGCAAAAGGGGCTTTTCTCCATTTAGCTTGCCCACCATTCAGGGTGAATTTAGGAGACATTTTCCTTGCTATTGGTTGCACAGTGAGAGGCACAGGAACCCTACCTGGTAAAGCCAGACAAGAGTGCCTTCCATATAGAGGAAAAACATGCAAGATTATGCATCTGCCCCTCTGATTTACAACTCAGAAGACTAAACTCACTAGGAAGCCATAGTCTGGCAATTTCCCTGTTTCAGAGACAGCAGCTGCCACAAAATAAAATAACTCTTAGGGTTTAGCTTGCAATGAAATGAGATTTTGAAATGGTTTTCTTAGCCTGAATTAAAATACATGGCATGGTTTATTCCATGGCCTGGATAGATTGCATATACAATTCTACTAAAGCCAGATTTTCTATGGCCCTTGCCTGAGCATGAGATTAGTTCATAGACTCCTAGGGCTGGAAGAGATCCCAGGAGGTCATAGAGTCCAACCCCCTATCCAAAGTAGAACCAATCCCAACTAAATCATCCCAGCCAAGGCTTTGTCAAGCTGGCACCTAAAAACCTCTATGGATGGAGATTCCACCACCCCAATCACCTATCAAATAGATAGGTAATCTATTTGAGTACTTCACCACGCTCCTAGTGAAAGTTTTTCCTAATATCCAACCTAGACCTGCCTCACTGTAAATTAAGACCATTGCTCCTTGTTCTGCCATCCGTCACTACTGAGAACAGCCTCTCTCCATCCTCTTTGGAACCTCCCTTCAGGAAGTTGAAGGCTGCTATCAAATCCCCCCGTTACTCTTCTCTTCTGCAGACTAAATAAGCCCAAATCCTTCAGCCTCTCCTCATAGGTCATGTGCTCCAGCCTCCTAATCATTTTGGTTGCCCTCTGCTGGACCCTCTCCAATGTGTCCACATCCTTTCTACAATGGGGGGTCCAGAACTGGATGTAATACTCCAGATGTGGCCTCACCAGTGCTTAATAAAGGGGAATAATCACTTCTCTAGATCTGCTAGCAATGCTCCTCCTAATGCACCCTAATATGCCATTAGCTTTCTTGGCTACAAGGGTGAAGGCAAACAGGACTATTCCATCCCTACACTCAAGACAAAGTCTGGGACTATTCCACTCTCTCCTCCAGGGAGTGCAGAAGTGGCTCACTCTGAGCACCCTGACAGCATATATCAACTAAGGGCACGTCTAGACTATGTTTTAATTTTGAAAGAGGCTATGCAAATTCTGAGGGAATTTGCATATCTTCTTACGATAGCATTTTCAAAAAGAAGATCTTTTGAAAGTAAAAGTAGTATGGATGCGGTTTTTTCAGAAAAAAACCTCTCTTTCTAAAAAGGAGGTTTACGCGCTTTTTCGTAAAAGGAATTTTTTTTCCAAAAAACCTCCCGTGTCCAGACTACTTTCACTTTTGAAAGATTCTGTTTTCAGGGACTCCAATTCTTCCTGTTTGCTACCTAGGCTTCTTGCGTTGGTGAACAAACACCTTAGATAACCAGTTGATCGCCCTACCTTCTCCATTCGAATCAGGGGTCCTCCTTTGTTGCTCCTTCCTCTTTGCATTTCTTCCCAGTATCCAACTTCCCCACTCCCCTCAGGGTTTTGGTCACCATCCCCCAGTGAACCTAGTTTAAAGCTCTCCTCACTAGGTTTGCAAGCCTGCCCGCAAAGTTGCTCCTTCCTCTCTTTGTTAGGTGGATCCCATCTCTTCCTAACAATCTTTGTGTCTGGAACAGATTCCCATGGTTGAAGAAATCAAAGTCCTCTCTCTGACACCACCTGCACAACCACACAGCTAGAGGAAACATTTTTTTTACTTCAAGTGCTAGCTCATGTCAATTACAATTAGATGATTCACAAGACATACACGGCAGGAATGACTGGAGTCAGCAAGTTGCTGTCTAGAGCATTACTGCGCCAAATGCCGCATCTTCTCTGGATTGGAGGCCAAAGGCAGGGGCAGGTCCTGAGCATCCCCTCCCGCCCCCAATGCTGGCAAAGCTGGGGCCTGAGGGAGCTGGATGGTGGTGAGGTGGCTGGCACTGTGTTTTGTCACAAGGAACGTCTATACAAAGTTATGAGAATGGTCTACAAATCATAAGATATGTTGGAAATAAAACATGTTGGATTTTTATTGGCCTTTTGTTTCTCGAGTATTTAAGGTTCATGTTTTAAAGCTTTCCTCCTTAGCTGTAAGGCCCACAAGTATAGAGAACTTTTTTAAAATGAAAGCTGAGATTCCTACATAATCAATTGACTCCAGGCCTTTAGAAAAACACCAAATGTTTTGAGACTCATGGTAAAACAATGGAGGAATTCTTGTGAGCCCATGCTTTGCCCACAATATAAATAAAAAAAAATCTTCTCCACTAAACATCCTAATGAGATACAGGCAGTCCCCGGGTTACGTACAAGATAGGGACTGTAGGTTTGTTCTTAAGTTGAATTTGTATGTAAGTCGGAACTGG